TACTGAAAATACCATGGCATGGGTCAGGCGCACTTCAGTCCTCAAACTAACATCTTTGCTCTTCAACACTTTAAAAGGGTCTTGTGCAGCAGATTTGCCTAATGCAATATGTGTCTTTGGTTTTCTGACTGCTGCTTCCATGAGTGTTGACAGTTGATCCAAGAAGAATGAAGTCCTTGACAACTTCAATCTTTACTCCTTTGATAAGAATGTTGTTTATTGATCCAGTAGTGAGGATTTTTTGTCTTTTTTACATTGATATGTAATCCATACTGAAGATTGTGCTCTTTGGTCTTCATCAGTAAATATTTTAAGTCCTCTTCACTTTCAGCAAGCAAGGATGTATCATCAGCATATCACAGGTTGTTAATGAGTCTTCCTTCAATCCTGATGCCACGTTTTTCTTCATATAACCCAGATTCTCGGATTATTTGCTCAGCATACAGGTTGAATAAGTATGATGAAAGAATACAACCCTGTTGCATACCTTTCTTAATTTTAAACTATTCAGTACGGGAGAACATTTGCTGCCTAATTACTAAACGAATTATTTATGGACTAAAGGACAGACACATGTTAGCATGGGCGACAGGGCAGGCAATATACAACAAGAAAGAGGTTTGCAGAGAAAAGACGAAGGGTAGGGGGAGGCACAGGAATGTAACAGTTAAGTGATAGAGGTAAATACTGTTAACTGTTAGAACATCGAGGGGACTATAATCATTGTAATGAAGCAAAGTATATGATTTGTCTAATGTAAAACTGCTGATCTGCTCTGTTAACCTCCACTCAAGTCACAATAAAAAGTTAAAACGAAAAAAAAGGTGAAAAATGGAGACTATCCATTGTTAAAGGCTTGATTGTTCTGGGAACTATACCCTAATTATGACGTTTGTTGTTGTTAAGTGCCATCAAGTCGATTCTGAGGAGCAGCTGGTGAGCTTGAACCACTGACCTTGCAGCTCAAATGGCTTTGCGGCCTGGCGCATTAACCCACACTGCCATACCAGGACTCATTATGATGTGGGAGGGGAGATACAAAGAGTGATCAGTTAGCACAGTCCTTACAATGTGAAAACAAACAGGGACAGACTTAGTGGGATAAGGCAATTAACCCGTTTCTCTTTAAATAGTCATCACAGAACATCTGACTGGTGTGTTGCTGTAAGAGAAACACTGGACAGCTAACCACAAGGTTGGCAGTTCAAACTCCTATACGGGGTTACTAGGCGTCGGAATTGACCTGACAGCACTTAATAACAGCAGTTAGTTTCAATACGGGACGCTGACCAGAAAAGGTTTTCTTAGGAATATGGAATAGGCAAAGGAGGTTTTTAAGGCCTGAAAGCTTCTACATGATTTCTAGGAATTCAGGAGTACCGCACTAACAGAACAAACTAAACTGATTTAGCATAACTTATTAGGTATTTTCTTTTAATGTTAACTTGTAAACATAGGATCATTTACATAATATTTGTAACGTTATAAGAAAGCTTTTTTTTTTACACAGAAAGCATATTCAATATAAAGAGGAAAAATGTCTGAATCTCAGTCAGTTCACTCTTATTTACGGTATTAACGTCCACCCAGTGGCCAATTCCAGAACTGTCCAGAGACAAGAAATTCCAAGAGGAAATTTTCAAGAATGGTGCCTAAAATACATATATTTTTAGTGATAACCACAGTAAAAACTAAAAAAACTTGCCTGTACTTACCTCCGTTTTCTGACTTTTCTGAAATACCAGACAATTTCCAAAAGGCTTTCATTTGTTCTGCATTCCTATAATAAGAACAAATACTTTTACATTAAATGTCTAGTATAGTATCTTACACACGGATGGAGGAGCATTCAATACATGAACTAATTTAAAATTTGTCATTAGAATGACTATAATGCTACACTTACTTTTAGATAGTTTCATATGCTGAAAACGTGTTTACAGTATAGTGCAAATATCATGCTTCATGTTTCTCAATTAAAGGAAGTTTATCAAATTATGTAATTATTCTCATTTCTACTGGTCAGAAAAAAATGTGCGTAAGTGACTCAGTACCTTCACTATCAAGGAAAACAAAATGTTATTAAATAATTAAGCAAATATGAATCGTCAGCATCTATACTAATAATAGAAGACACCAGAAAAATGATGAAGGGATTGGAGTAACTAATACTAATAAACACCTAATCAACTACATGCCAGTTGCAATATTTACTCCTATAAAATAAGTATTATTATTTTAAAGAAAAAAACAAAACAAAAAAAAACAGTTTAAAGAGATTAATGATGTTCCTGAGGGTAAACTGACAGCAAAACTAGTCTTGTTTGTTTTGTATTGAGGTTGTTGTTGTTGTTAAGTGCAGTTGAGCTGATTCCAACCCATAGTGACCCTGTATAGGGTTTCCGAGGAGCACCTGGTGAGCTTGAACCACTGACCTTGCAGTTCAAACGACTTTGCAGTCTGACACATTAGCCCACAGCGCCACACCAGGAATCTTTGGATTGAGGTTACTGTGGTTTAACTAATAAAACAAATAGCATCTTTTGTAGCAATGGTTTATAAGGGCAAATGCACTCAAACTTTGAAACTGATAAAACCACCTTCAGAAGTTGGGGTCTACAAGTTAGGATTTCAACAGAAATGTGGCAGGAATTGAGAACCCCCCTTACCATATTGCAGGGGGAAGGGACTGCATGTTTGTGACTCCTCCATCCACTGGGACCATCACCTGTATGTTGGAAAGCACACTTGGTGCCACCATAGCTTCTGGGTTGTACTTGTAATCCACTCTGAGGTCTGTGGTGCCAGCACTACATTTCCAGTATGTTGCAAGATTCAGAGGAGTGGACTGAATACCATTTGATGATACCTTTACAGAGAACAAACAAACCAACCATTATCTCTGGCTTGAAAGTAAACAAGTCATATTAATGACATGTATAATTAAGTGTTCTCAGAATCAAAACCATCCACTGAGGGGAGTATTCGGTAGTAGCTAGAGCACAGCAGATTCAATCAAAAGAACAAGCACCACTCTCACAGTGTGGACCTGCGCCTATCTTGCTAAAAATGTGCGTTCCCCTAGCTCCAACTGCAAAATCGGATTCAATAATGTGGGGACAGGGCCAAGAAATGAGCATGTTATTAGATAATTCCTGTTTATAAAGTTTCAGAACTTCTTGACACACACTCAGCATACAATTCTACGATTTTTTAAATAAATTTTAATTTAGATCTAAAACAGCAACAAAAAGAAAGGGTTACCATGCACTTCCTTAAGCCTGAATATAGAATGTTTCCACCTTCAAATGTTTCCATTTAATCATATGACTCACAGCAGAAAGGAGGACAACTCCTTCAAAGTTTTCAGCTCTTGGATCAAACAGCTCTTGCTTAACAAAACTCACTCTGAACACCCTGTTTAAATTTACCTTGAAAATCCCATTTTCAATCCTCCTTACCTTAATCTACTTTTCCTTTTCTCCACACCATTTAATTTCTAACATACAATTATTTACTTACTACATTTACTGTCTTCCCACCACAGTTCTGGTAATTAGCAAGCAAGTACTTGAGTGGATAATGAAATGAATGCTTGTAATAATCTTTTAGCCCATTTACATTGCAGCACTTTGTTTACTTTTTAAAATACTTATTTCCTAGAAACAAGCCACTTTAAAGTAACTGCCCTTTTAAAATTTCAACTCCAAGTCTTGGTGACTTTAAGTACAGAGTATAAAACATTGCCCACTCCAGTGTCACCAGTACAATTACGGTGTCACTCCATATCACTGAAGGTCTACCACACCCTTGCTGGCCCTCTACTTCACCAAACATGACATTCAACTCTAACAGGAGATCCTTCCTATTATTTGGATGACTTCTCCAAAGCACTGGAGTTCTGCTGTGATTCTTAAGGTTTCCACTGGGTCACCAACAAATGTAGATTATCAGGCCTTTCTTCCTAGTCTCTGTTAGTCTAGAAGTTTCGCTGAGACCTGTCTACCAGGGGTGACCCTGCTAGTATCTGAAATACCAGGGGAACTGTTTCTATCATTATAGCAGCATGCAAGCCATCACAGTATGATATATTGATAGGCAAATGGTGGTGAAATAGTATTAAACTATATAAAATAGAAATTGTATCCCTTGACAAGTGTATACTCATTGTGATCTGTTAATAGTACTGCAAATACCAATGGAGAGCTTTTAAACATAGGCCAACCTGGATCCCCCTCATTCTTTTTTTTTCTCCCCAACTTTTATAGTGAATTGGCTGAAGGTTTACAGAGGAGATCATCAGTTGTACATTCAACAAATCATATATATTACCTCATTATATGACTGCAAGTCCCTCCATGCACCAACTGGTGTGTTAGTTTGTCGTACTGTGGTGGCTTGTGAGTTGCTGTGATTCTGGAAGCTATGCCATGGGGATTTTAAATACCAGCATGGTGGACAGGTTTTAGATGAGCTTCCAGATGAAGACAGACTAAGAAGAAGGTGAGACTAACTATTTTCAAATATCTAGTCACTGAAAACCTTATGAATAGCAGAGAAACACTGTCAGATATACTGCGGAAAAAGAGCCCCTCATGTTGGAAGGCACTGAAAATGCGACTGGGGAAGAGCTGCCTCCACAAAGTAGAGTTGACCGTGATGACATGAATGGAATAAAGCCCATGGGAGAAAAGCCCGTGGGACCTTCATTTGCTGATGGGGCACAACTCAAAATAAAGAGAAAGAGCTGTAAACATCCAATGAAAATCGGAACATGGAAAGTACGAAGTATGAATCTGGGATAATTGGAGGGTGTCAAAAATGAAATGGAATGCATAAACATCGATATCTTAGGCATTACTGAGCTAAAATGGACTGATATTGGCCATTTTGAATCTGACAACCATACAGGTTACTATGCCAGGAATGACAATTTGAAGAGGAATGGTGTTGCATTCATTGTCAAAAAGAACGTATCCAGATCAGTCATGAGGTACAACGCTGTACGTGATAGGATAATATCCATGTGCCTACAGGGATGCCAGTTAATACCACCATTATTCAAATTTACGCACCAACCACTAAAGCCAGTGAGGATGAAATAGAAGAATTCTACCAACTCCTTCAATCTGAAAGTGATCAAACATGCAATCAAGATGTATAAATCATTATTGGTGATTAGAATGCAAAGCTTGGAAACAAAGAGGAAGGATCAGTAGTTGGAAAATATACCCTTGGTGATAGACATGATGCTGGAGATTGCATGATAGAATTCTGCAAAACAAATTATTTGTTCAATTCAAATACCTTCTTTAGACAGCTTAAGAGACAATTATACACATGTAGCTCAGCAGATGGAATACACAGAAATCAAATTGACTACATCTATGGAAATAGACGATGGAAAAGCTCTATATCATCAGTCAAAACAAGGTCAGGGACAGACTGTGCAACAGACCATCAATTGCTCATACGCAAATTCAGACTGAAGTTGAAGAAAATGAAAAAAAGTCCACGAGAGCCAAAACATGACCTTGAACATATCCCACCTGAATTTAGAGATCATCTGATGACCAGATTTGACACATTTAACACTGAAGACTGAAGACCAGAAGAGTTGTGGGATGACATCAAGAACATCATACAGGAAGAAAGCAGAGTCATTGAGAAGACAAGAAAGAAGGAAAAGATCAAAATGATGTCAGAGGAGACACTGAAATTTGCTTTCTAGCGTAGAGATGCTAAAGCAAATGCAAGAAATGAGGAGGTCCAAGTGGTGAACAGAAAATTTCACAGGTCAGCTTGAGACGACAAAGTCAAATATTACAATGAAATGTGCAAGATCTGGAATCAGAAAACCAAAAGGGAAGAACACGCTCAGCATTTCTCAAGCTGGGGGAACTGAAGAAAATATTCAAGCCTAGACTTTCCTTATTGAAAGATTCTCTGGGCAAATTATTGAATGATACAGAAAGCATCAAAAGAAGATGGAAGGAATAAACAGAATCACTGTACCAAAAGGATCAAGAGCCAATGATACTGAAGTCCAAGGTGCACTGAAGGAATTGGCAAAGAACAAGGTACCAGGAATTGATGGAATAAAAATTGAAATCTTTAAGAAAATGAGGCGGCACAGGAGGAACTCACTCATCTATGCCAAGAAATTTGGACGATAACTATCTGGCTGACTTATTGGAAGAGATCCGTATTTCTGCCCATTCCAGAGAGATGACCCAACAGAATGTGGAAATCACTGGACAATCTCTTTGATATCCCATGCGAGTAAAGTTTCACTAAATATTAATACAGAAATGGCTGTAAGCCGGATTCAGAAGAGGATGTGGAACGAGGGATATCATTGCTGATGTGCAATGGATCTTGGCTGAAAGCAGAGATATCAGAAAGATGTTTACCTGTGTTTTGACTACACAAAGGTTTTCAATTGTGTGGATCATGACAAACTACGGACAACATTGTGAAGTATGAGTATTCCTGAACACTTAATTGTGCTCGTGAGGAATCTGTACATGGACCACGAGGCAGTTGCTCGAACAGAACATGGGAACACTGAATGGTTTAAAATTAAGGCAGGTGTGCAACAGGGTTGTATTCTTTCACCATACTTATTCAACTTGTATGCTGAGCAAATAATCCAAGAAAATGGGTTTTATGAAGAGAAACGTGGCATCAGGATTGGAGGAAGACTCATTAACAACCTGCAATATGCACATGATACAACCTTGATGCTGAAAGTGAAGAGGACTTACAGTACTTAACTGATGAAAATCAAAGACCACAGCCTTTGGTATGGATTGCATCCTAATGTAAAGAAGACAAAAATCCTCACCACTGGACCAATAAACAACATTCTAATCAAGGGAGTAAAGACTGAAGTTGTCAACGACTTCATTCTTCTTGGATCAACTATCAACACTCATGGAAGCAGCAGTCAAGAAATCAAATGGCATATTATTAGGCAAATCTGCTGCACAAGACCTTTTAAAGTGTTGAAGAGCAAAGATGTCAGCTTGAGGACTAAGGTGCACCTGACCAAAGCCATGGTAACATCATATGCATGTGAAAGCTAGACAGTGAATAAGAGACTGTAGAAGAATTGATGCTTTTGAGTTATGGTTTTGGAGAATATTGAAAGTACCATGGGCTGCCAAAAGAACAAATAGATCTGTGTTGGAAGAAGTGCAGCCAGAGTGCTCCTTGGAGGCCAGGATGGTCAAACTTCATCTCTCATACTTCGGACATATTGTCAGGAGGGACCAGTCGGTGGAGAAGGATATCATGTTTGGTAAGGTGGAGGGTCAGAGAAAAAGAGGAAGACCCCCATTGAGATGGATTGGCCAAGTGGCAGCATCAGTGGGCTCAAGCGGGGCAACTATTATGAGGCTGGCCGAGGATCAGGCAGTGTTTCCTTCTGTTGTGCACAGGGTCGTATGAGTTGGTACCAACTTGATGGCACCTGGTAACAACCAAACCAACAATTAACAGTATTTACCTCTATTCACTTTAAATATTGCATTCCTCTCTGTCTCCCACTATCTTCAATTTCCTTTGCTAACCTCCTGCATGTATATTGCCTGCCTTGTCACTCATGTTAACATGTCTGCCCTCTAAATCTGTGAATAATTTTCCCTTCCCTTTCTCTCCCCTCCACAGCCCCACACATCCTAGATTGTTTCTTTTATCAAGAAACATTTTTTTTTCCAGCTTTTATTTATTTATTTTTTTTTAAGGTTTTTATTGTGGATTGAGTGAAAGTTTTCAGGGCACATCATCGGTTTCACATTCAAACATTCATATACCTTGTTTCATTACATTGATTATAATCCCCTCCACATACCATCAGGTAACAGAGTTTCTCTCTATCCTCTTTAGCTTTTTTTGGAGGAGGGAAACTTTGCCTTTTTGGAATTTACAGTCTCGGCTTTTAGGGAAGGTTTTTACATTTATCTGTGGGTATCCAGGGCTCATGTATGGAATTACTAATCAGCATAACTGAATAATCAGATAAGGGACATTTTGCTATGTGTGCTAGGTGGCTAAAGTCTGATCCTCAGAGCCTATGGTTTGGTCGGTCAGCAACACTTGGGCCCACAGGGACTTGAACTCCTGACCGGGTCTGCATGGTCTGCATCAGATTCCCCCTTATTTACTATTTGTTTAAGGGACACTGCCTGTCTTAGGCGGTCAGTGCGAATTCCTCAGTCTTACCCGTCATCGAAACTCATTGCAGCATGGCAATGGCTCTGTCTTAGGTTGCCGAGGTTCCACGTGATCCTTGCCCGTCTCTGGCCATTTTTCCAGCTTTTTACCAAGATTTGGTCTCACAGTATTTGTCCTTTGTTGACTAATTTCACATAGCATAGTCTCCTCCAGGTTCAACCACGTTGTCAAGTGTTTCACAGAGTCACCATTATTCTCCAATATTTTGTAGTATTCCATTGTATATATGTACCAAATGTGTCTAGCCACTCTTCTTTTGATGGGCCTTTAGGCTGTTTCCATCTTTTTAATACTTTTTTTTTTATATACAGCATATTGAAGGATCCTGTTTGGTTATCTATTCTGCTCTCTAGGTTTCTTGACTGGTACATTTAATATATTTATATTCAGTATAATTATCAATAAGGTATGAATTGATTTCTGTCATTTTTCTGTGTTTTTTTTAGTGTGTGGTGTTGCTGGGGCTTTTGTTCATTTTGTTTGTGCATTTTCATTTTCTTTTCTGTTGTATTAATGTTCACTAAATCGTTCTGATTTTACCTTTTTATTTTGATGAGCAGGTGTATATTCTTTTTCTTTGAGATTACCCTGCAATTTAAAAATATTTTCCCTGCTTAAAACAATGTTTTATCTTGAAATCTACTTAATTTCTGTGCCATTTGGAAGTTATGTATCTACACTGTTCCCTTTTTTTTACTTTGTAGTTTACTTCCTTATACATTGATACCTCTGGTTCCCTAACTTCAATTTTTTGTAAAGTTGGTCTGATTGTTACAAATTCCTTTAATTTTGGTTTATCCCTTAATTAAATTATTCTTTCATTTCACCATCATATTTGAGGTGCAGCTTTGCTGCATATATGATTCTTGGTCTTTTTCAGTTTTACATATTTCATTTCATTGCCTTCTTGCCGGAATGATTTCTGCTGAGGAATCAGAGCTTAGCCTTATTGGTTCTCCTTTGTACGTAACTTTTCATTTTCCCTTAGCTGCTCTCAGGACTCTTTCCTTGTCTTTGGTTTTGGAAAGTTTGATTATGATATGTCTTTTTGATTTTCTTGTGGAATCTATCCTGTTTGGAGTTTGTTCAGTTTCTTGCATATCTGTCTTCTTGTGTTTCAAGTTAAGGAAAGCGTCTTTCCAACAACTCTTTGACAATTTTTTCTGTGCTTGTCTCTTCTTGTTTTAGAATTCCAATCACTTATAAGTTATTCCTCTTCATGGTGCCCTACATAACTCTCAGGCTTTCTTCATATTTTTTCTGTTTGTCCTTCTAGCATACTAGTATTGAGAGTTTTACCTTCAAGCTCACTAGTTTGGCCTTCCATTGCTTCTCATTTACTCCTTTACCCTTTCAGTGTATTATTCATTTCTGAAAGCTCTGTATTAATGTTCTGGATTTCTAATTGCAGGTTTTATGTTGTTTCAATTTTTGCATTTATTTTGTGCTTGTTCTTTTGGTATTTTCCTGAATTCTTCTAAGGTTTTTTTCTGTGTCCTTCCTGTTTTCCTTGATCTATCAGTCCTTTGAAGGGACCTAATTATCAATCTTTTGAACTTATTTTTAGCCGTTCCATTACCTTTACTTCCTCAGAAATGTTTTCTGTCTCTGCAACTTGGTCATTTATTTGAGCCATTCTCCCATTTCTTTGTGTCTGCTGTCTTTGGAGCATTGGGAGGTTGTTGTATTTGTATTTAATTGACGATTGTATGTTGATGTGTCCTTATGCCCTCACCAACTGTCTCCTGTGGGCATTGAGAATGGAAATGTGTACTCCATACTTGTTTGCCATCTGTGCCCCTCAGTTTGGGGTGTGTTTGACTGGTGCTGGCTGCTATCATTGATCAGGTGCTATAGTAGCTGGTGTTGGCTCTTGTCAGTGGGTGGAACTGCAGTTGTGGCTGTTGCTTTATGGACACGGTTGCTGTCTCCTGTCAGGAGGGAAAGAGAACCCCCCCCCCTTCTCCCTCACACTCATACACAAGAAAACGAAACAGAATACAAACAAGAAACTAACAATGAAGAGAGACAATAATGATAAAAACCTCTGGGGCTCCTGCAAGCCAAGGAGCTCACAAGGTAGGGTAGGGAGTGGTCCTGGCTCTAGATGGAGTTCCTACTGGCCTCAGTGTTATCAGTGTTGTCAGGGCACTCTGTCCACAAGTAGGTTGTGGAGCCCTTAATGGAGTTGATTTCAGCATCCGTTAGGACCATATGGCAGTTGGAGGCAGGGTGACTGATTGTTCTAGTGGTTCTGCAGGTCCTGTAAATTTGTAGCCAAGCCCACCTGAATCCAAGCACCAAGTTCCCAACCACGTGGTTCTGAACTCCTGGGAAGCAAGGTCTTTGCCGTGGGGTGGAAGAGGGCGGGGGCTGGCCATACCTTACACCTCTGGTCACTAAGGGAGCATGGGGGAAAAGGGGTCATACTTTTTCAGTTGCCTGTGTGACTCTGCTCTACCAGGCCACCTTCTATTGCCAAAGCTGCTTACAAAGGCTCAAGATGGTCACCAGCATCTGGCCAGCCATTCACCTATCAGTCTCCCTCTCTTGCTGTCCCTGCTCACCTTCTATTCCCAGCAAGCACTCAGTCCACTTCTCTAACCTTTCCTCTGAAGTTTAGAGTTCCGGAATTTTCATCTGTGTCTGTTTCATTTGGTCTCTAGTATCTTTGTTGCAGAGGGTCTGTGTAGTGTGTCTGCCTAGTCCACCATCTTGCCATTACTCCTTTAGATATTTCCTGACCTATTATTCCAGAAAACTTAAAAATGATTGCCAAATCTCCAAAAACACACACACACACTCACACACACACACACACACACACAGGATTTTTGATTAAGGTCACAGTAAATTTATAGGTTAATTTAGAAACAGATCTTTTACAACACTGAGTTGTCCTTTCAATTAATAAAGTCATCTTTCTAACTATGTTCAAGACAATAGAGGTTTTATTATGCTTCTTTCTAATTGCTTTTTCAAAACTACTGCTTTTCGTATGGAGTCCTGATGTGGCACTACAGTCTGGATAAAGCACTACAGTACCATATTCACCTATATCAAATAGCTTTGTCAATCTGTTTGTTTGTTTGTTTGTTTGTTTAGTTTTCCAGGAGTACAAAGTCACCTATAAACAATAATTTTGTTTCCAATGTTGTAGTATTTATCACTGATTATTTTATTCTCTTATCTAATTGCACTGGCACATGAGAAAAATCTTATATACTAATAGAAATAATGGGTATCTTTGCCACTTCTAACTTTAATTGATTCCTTTTGGTGTTTTACCATTAAGGCTGATGCTACAGGTCTTTATATATGATTAATGTACTTTTCTGGTTAAAGAAGTATTTGTGTATTTATACTTACTCAGTTTTAATCAGGAATAGTGGTGAATTTCATCAAAATGATTAATAGATTTACGAATTTAGAAATATTGGAAAATATTTACATTCATATAATGAACCTCATTTGGCAATATTTTCAGTTAGGATTTTTAACAATGGTAGGAAACTCACCTGATACTTCAATACATCTACATTATAGTAAGAAGCAGCTGGATTTTGCTCTGATAGTTTCTTGAGGTAGACAGTAACAGCTTGCATGTTCATCCAAAAATCTTTTGTGTTGGAATCACATTGGGATGGATCACTAGATGTAAAAGAAATACTTGAAAATTTTTGTTTACCTTTTACCTCCTGTTAATTTGGTGATCTGAGAAAGATTAGTAGAAATGAACAAAGGGTGCTATGAAAGAAAAATAACATTAGGGGATAAAGAACAGTACACAGTTGAATCTTCAAAAAGTGAAGATGGATAGAAAAGGATTTAATAACTACCACCACCATAATCAAATCAAAACAAAACAAAACACAGAGAAAGGCTATTTAATAAGTAATTCTGGTGTTGTCTTCAAACCAAACATTACTGTTTCAAAGGATGAAACAATTTCCTTAAAATTTCGTACTTTCAAAAAACTAAGATAATTAAGAGTATACAAACCTGAATACCAATTGTGCATTTGGAAGAATTTGCTCCAGTCTGCTGATATTTTTCACCCTGAAGCACAGCACAGCTGGAGATGGATTGCTAGTGAAGACTTTAATAATTCCACTGGGGAATGATACTGTTATGTCACCAGTGATCTTCACAATACACCTGGAATTCCAAAAGTGTTTCAATAAAATGTTTTAATCACCAAACAATATTTAGTTAAAAAGGAATTTATAAACAAACATGCGTTGTTGTTGTTAAGTGCCATTGAGTTGGTATCAACCCATAACAATCCTGTACAGGGTTGCCGAGAAGCGGCTCATGAGCTTAAACAACTGACCTTGCAATTTAAACCAAATTTGTGGTCCAGTGCTTAACCTACAGGACCAAACCAGAACTCAGTATACATATATAGACATACACACACACACACATACACATATATATGTGCCTACAAGGAAGACCAGTTAATTACTCAAATTTACACTAAAGCCAGTGATAATGAGCCTGAAGAATTTTACCAACTTCATCAGTCTGAAATTGATCAAACGTGCAAACAAGAGGTATTGATAATTACTGGTGACTGGAATGTAAAGGTTGGAAACAAAGAGGTAGGATCAGTATTTGGACAATATGGCCTTGGTGATAGAAATGATGCTGGAGATTGCATCATAGAATTTTGCAAGACCAACTACTTGGTCATTGCAAATACCTTTGTAAACAACATAATACACATAGACCTCACCAGGCAGAACACATAGGAATCAAATCGACCACATCTGTAGCAAAATGGTGGAGAAGCTCAATATCGTCAGACAAAACAAGGCCAGGGGGTGGATTGGATCAGACCATCAGTTGCTCATAGCCAAGTCCAAGCTGAAAGCTGAAGAAATTTGAAACAAGTTCATGAGAGTCAATGTGACGTTGAACATATGTCACCTGAATTTAAGAGATTGTCTCAAGAATAGATCTGACGAATTAGGCACTAAAGACCAGAGAGCTGTGGGATGACATACAGAAAGAAAGCAAAAGGATCATTAAAATGACCGGAAAGAAAGGAAAGACCAAAATGGATGCTAGACTCTGACACTTGCTCTCCAGTGCAGAGATGCTAAAGTAACTAAAAGAAGTGAGGAAGTAAAAGGGCTAAAGAAAATTTCAAAGGATACCTTAAGAAGACAAAGTCAAGTATTATAGTGAACTGTGTATGGAAAGACCTGGAGTTAGAATGGAGTTAGAAAACCAAAAGAGAAGAAAGTGCTCAGCATTTCTGAAGCTGAAATAACTCAAGAAAAAAATTAAAGCCTTGACTTGCAACACTGAAGGATTCCATGGGCAAAATATTTGAATGATTCAGAAAGCATCAAAAGAAGACAGAAGGTATATACAGAGTCACTGTACCAAAAAGAAATCGTCGATGTTCAACTCTTTCAAGAGATCAAGAAACAATGGTACTGAAAGAGGATGTCCAAACTTTACTGAAGGCATTAATGAAAAACAAGGTTCTAGGGATTGATGGAATACAAATTTAAAATCTTTCAACACACTGAGGCAACACTGGGAGAACTCACTCTTCTAGGCCAAGAGATTTGGAAGACAGCCACCTGATGAACCAATTGGAAGATATCCATATTTGTGCCAATTCCAAAGAGAGATTACCCAATGTGAATATCATCAAACAATACCATTAATATTGTTTTTGTTAAGTGCCGTCGAGTCGATTCCAACCCACAACGACCCTGTATAGGGTTTCCAAAGAGTGACTGGTGAGCTTGAACCACCAACCTTGCAGTTCAAACAGCTTTTCAGTCTGGCGCATTAACCCACAGTGCCACACTAGGACTCCAGCGTAGTGGTTACGAATCGGGCTGCGAACCGTAAGGTCAGCAGTTCAAAATTACCAGCTATTCTGCAGGAGAAAGATGAGGCGTTCTGCTCCCGTAAAGATTTACAGGCTCAGAAACCCTGTACAGGGTCGTTATGAGTTGGAACTAACTCCACGGCACACAGCCACCACCACCATTAATATTACATGCAAGTAAAATCTTGCTGAGAATAATTAAAAATGGCTGCAACAGTACCTCAATAGAGAACTGACAGAAACTCAAGCTGAATTCATTACAGGACAAGGAATTGGGGTATCATTGCTGATGTCAGATGGAACTTGGCTGAAAGTAAAGAATACCAGAAAGATGTTTACTTATGTTTTATAGACTATGCAAAGGTTTTTGAGTATGTGGATCATGACTAGCTATGGATAACTGTGTGGAGAATGGATATTCCACAACACTTAATTGTGCTCACGCAGAACCTGTACATAAACAGTAGTTCAAACAGAATAAGGGATAGTGAATGGTTTTAAAATCAAGAAAAATGTGCGCCAGGGTTGTTCTCTTTCACCATACTTATTCAATCTGTATGCTGAGCAAATAATCCTATAAACTGGATTACATTAGGCCTGGAGGAAGACACATTAACAACTTTCAATATGCAGATGATACAACCTTGCTTGCTGGAAGCAAAGAGGGCTTAAAACACTTACAGATGAAGACCAGAGCCTACAGCCTCTGTTGAACCTCAACGTAAAGAAAACAAAAATTCTCACAATAAATAACATCTCATGATAAATGGAGAAAAAACTGAAGTTGTCAAAGGTTTAAATTTACTTGGATCCACAATGAACACTCACTGAAGTAGAAGCCAAGCATTCAAACAGACGTTATTGCATTAAGCAAATCTGCTATTCAAGACCTCTGTAAGTGCTGAAAAGCTAAGATATCAGTTTGAAGACTAAAGTGTGCCTGACCCAAGCCAGGGAATTTTCAATAGCCTCATATGCATGTAAAAGTTGGACAAAGGAAGACTGTAGAAGAATTGATGCATTCGAGTTACGGAGCTGGAGAATAATGAAAAGTACCATGTACTACCAAAAGAACCAACAAATCTCAACAGAAGCATATGAACATCTGCAAACAAAATTTGAACCGATACTTGGAGGAAGTTAACAACAATGGAACTTTTCCACCATCTCTTCTGTATATTCCATCTGGTGAGGTCCATGTGTATAGCTGCCTTTTATGTTATTTTAAAAAGGCATTTGCAATGAGGAAGTCATTGGTCTTGCATAATTCTACCATGCCCTCTTAAGCATCATTTCTATTACCAAGGCTGTATTTTCCAACCAGTGACCCTTCCTCTTTGGTTCCCACCTTTGCATTCCAGTCGCCAGTAATTATCAATAGATCTTGACTGCAGGCTTGATCAGTTTAACTCAAACTGAAGTTGGTAGAATTCTTCAATTTCATCATTACTGGCTTTAGTGGTTGGTGCATAAATTTATATAATAATGGTATTACTGAAATGTCAGGCATATGGATATTATCATATCCATCCAGACAGAATATCTCAAAACCTGATAAACCAAAAAACCCAAGATCATTGCCACTGAGTGGGTTGTGATCACAAGCAACCCCACAGATTAGAGTAGAACTGCTCTATAGGGTTTCCAAGGATGCAATCTTTACAGAAGTCCTTGTATGACACTGTGGGTTAATGCGATGGACTGTAGAGTCAGTCTGAACCACAAGATCAGAGGTTAAGCTCACTAGCTGCTCCTCAGAAACCCTATACAGCGTCGCTACGGGTAGGAACAGACTCGATGGCACTTCACAATAGTAACAACAATCTTCACAGCAGTACATTGCTACATCTTCCTTACACAAAGTTGCTGGTGGGTATGGACTGCTAACCTTTGGATCTGTTTATTAGATTCCCTTCACGACAGAGTCTGACCCATAGTAAGCACATTTGATAAATGAATGAATGTTGAATAAAGTTATGTCAGAAAAGTAGAGGTGATCATTCACCCACATATAGTCTTTTTAAGGTTAAACTGGTTCTGCAAGGTTGTCATGTATTAAACATGTATTCTTGGAAAAGTCTCTCTTTCACCAATAATGTACATTAGGCCAAGGTTCAGGGTTCCATCCCTGCCTAGGTCAGCTGCTATCATCCTGCTATACAGATAAGATAAACAAGAGATAGCAAGACTGAAGATGAACTGGTGAATAGGCACCACTTCTACTGATCATAATCAATATTCTCATTTGAAAGATAATCCCCCAAATGATTAGGTTCTGGTTGTTTTTATAGTGCCATCAAGTCAGTTCCGATTCACAGAGACTCTGTATAGGGTTTCTAAGGAGTGGCTGATGACTTGGAATCACCGACCTTGTGGCAAGCTGTCCAGTGCTAATCCTACAGCACCACGCTATTGTTAAATGCTGTCAAGTCTGTTCTGACTCATAGTGACCCTGTAGAGCGTTTCCAAGGAGCAGCTGGTGGTTTTGAACCATTGACCTTATGCCACACAGGACTCCTCAAATGACTATTGATGTTATTGTTAAGTGCCATCAGAGTCAGTTCCAACACACATTGACCCTGCATAGGGTTTCTGAGAAGCAGCTGGTGAGCTTGAACCACTGGCGTTGCAGTTCAAACCGACTTTGCAGCACATTAATTCACAGCGCCACCCCAGGACTTCTCAAATGACTATAGTGGTGGTGGTTATGTGCCGTGGAGTCAGTTCTGACTCATAGCAACCCTGTACAGGGTTTTCGAGGCTGTAAATCTTCATGGGAGCGGGAACAGAAAGCCTCATTTTTCTCCCATGAAACAGCTGGTAGTTTCAAACTGCTGATCCTGAGGTTAGCAGCTTGATTCGTAACCACTACGCTACCTTCAAATGACTATAGTAGATACTAAAGAACCAGGTTAACGAACAAACAACAGAAAACCCTGACCAAAATATAATCTTAAAATTTACCACCAAGCTGCAAGATACCCACACACAATCACTCTCTTTCTCTCTCACACTGTATGTGTATGTTTAAAATACTAACTTGGTGGGATCTGCTCCTTTAAAGTAGGCATTAACAGATTCTGTAAGGGCCACTGCCACAGGTAAAGTGTCCTGATTTCCGAGGCTGACAGGGCTGGGACCTCGTGATACACCTAGAATACATACAATTCATTTGTTAAGTTCTTCATATTGAATATCAGACAGGTAGATTCACAATGTTAGATTGTCACAAATGACCCTATTACTGACTTTAATGATGCCCAAAGTGTCCATATAGAGGTTAAGAAATATTGCATAAAACAAACTGGAACTTAATACAAAGGACACCAAAACAAAGCAAAACAGGAAAACATGTCACATTGACTTTTGTTTTTAATGGAATAATACAGAAGGGTTAAGCAATGTCAGAAGGAAAAAGCCTTTAACTTGAAAAAATAAAATTATTATAACTTTAATAATATTCAAATGCTAAACTGTTCCAGGTTCTAATAGTTCAGATTCCAATAATCACATAGTTCCAGGTATGAAACCAGAGGTTTATATTTAAGTGATTTGTCTCTAAGCAGTGGTTTGTATTAAAAGTCTCTTAGCCTCTTCTTTGTCTAATGTTTGTATTGCTGCTGCTAGCTGCCAGAGTCAACCACTGACTCCTGGCAACCCCCACACAAGATCAGACTGCTATGATCTACAGGGTATTCACTGGTTACTTTCTTGAAATGGATCAAAAAAAGCATGAGCTTACTAGCTGCTTACTACTGAGCAACCTTGGGCATGTAGTGGCTTTTCTTCCTAGTCTTAGTCTGGACACTCCGCTGAAACCTGCTTAGTATCATAATAATAGGCATACCTGCAACTGGCAGTTGTGTGGTGGCTGTGCATGAGACTCAGTGTTTCTGCTCGGACTGCTAGGCAATAATCTATCACTGAACCACTGCTGCCCACCATGTAAATGGCCAGTCTTATGGAAGGAAAACAATGAAGAGCCTAGGCTAGCACACATTTCTGAAATCTGACTGTATGCATATTACATGAATGTTACACAATGTTCATAGCAATTAGATGCTTTCGTTTTAGATGTGATTATCTTTAGTTGAAAGACAGTTACTTATGAGACAGTGACAGTATTAACTCAGATAAAAATCAGTACTGTCTGTGACTCACAACTAAACCTGAGATCCCACAATCAGTGAGAAGAGAGATATTTAGCTAGCTTTAGAAGAAAATTTTGATTCTAGATTTTGAAAATTCGTCAGAGCTAGAAATGTTTAAAAATATATGGTGACAGGAACTACTGCTTAAAGGCCATTGGGAAAAAAATCACATCCCCAAACAAAACTTTTAAGTTCATGTGAAAATAAAGAACTAAAAAAATATGAAAACATTATTCATAAAATTACAAAAATTACTATTTTTCTAACCACTAGGAGTCCTGGAGTGGCACTGTGGGGTCATATGCTAGACTGCAAAATCAGTTTGAACTGCAAAGTGGGTGGTTCAAGCTCACCAGTTGTCCCTTGTAAACCCTATACAGGGTCTGCTGTGGGTCGTTACCGACTTGACGGTACTTTAACAACAACAACTACATGCTAAGAAAGCAAGAAAAGAAAGAAAAAACAATGGATTTTGAGCCAGAGCAGAAGCATACTTTGTGGCCAGGGCTGGGGTGGGCTGGGCTGATGGCAAGCTATGAACACGCAGCAGCTGGAGAAGTTTATGACCTTATCATGCCATAGAGGCCCTCTAGTTGGATCCTCTTGGCACTCAAACCCATGGAAAACATTTGAGAGAAACATGATTAAATTCTTTTGATTAAGTAAGATTACTCTGAATATGAGTAGTGGCTGCAAGGAAGAGAAAGTGACCGCAGTCAAAGATTTGACTTTGATGAGGTTAAGAGGTGAGAGATTGTGGGAACTGCACAGTAGGAAAACCAGACTCCGTATGAATTCACACTTGTACACCGGAAAAATGTCACTGTGAGCCAAAATTTTTTCCTGATTATTGTTCTAATGTTTTGTCATCAGAATTTCAGGAAAACAGATTTTCAGAGAAAGACGGAAGGCTATAATAATTTTTCTTTAGTAAAACAAATTATAGGCAATTAATATTTTCCCCTGGAGTCCTGGTGTGGCGCTGTGGGCTAACATGCTGGACTGTAAAGTCATGTTGAACCTAGAGTTTGGTGGTTCAAGTTCACCAGTTGCTCCTCGGAAAACCAATACAGGGTCGCTATGGGTCAGAAGTGACTCGCAGGCACATGACAACAACAACATTTTCCCTTGGAGAAACCATCCAAAATAAATGAACATTTTCTCATAGTCAAGGTGACTACTTTGACACTGAAAATTTGAGGACATCTACAAAGTTATTCTTTTCAATGATTTAATTTGAGCATAAACATCAGAATTCTTGAAACAGTCACCCTATAACTTGTTATCCACCACTCATCTGTCAATTGGCTGTACTGTGGTGGCTTGTGAGTTGCTGTGATTCTGGAAGCTATGCCACGGGTATTTTAAATACCAGTAGGGTCACCCATGGTGGACAGGTTTCAGATGAGCTTCCAGACTAAGACAGACTAGGAAGAAGGAGTGATGAACTACTTCAGAATATTTAGTCACTGAAAACCTTACGAATAGCAGAGGAACACTGTCAGATATAGTGCTGGAAAATGAGCCCCTCAGGTTGGAAGGCACTCCAAAGTGGCAGCATCAATGGGCTCAAGTGTGGCAACAATTGTGAGGTTGGCCCAGGACTGGGCAGTGCTTTGTTCTGTTGTCCATAGGGTTGCTATGAGTCGGTACTGACTCGATGGCACCTAACAACAACAACATAACGTGTTATGCCCTTTATTGGAATATAAAGTACAGAAAAGTATATATAGAAAAAAGTATATGGAAAGTAGGAGCATATTCCTTTTGAATTTTGTTTTCATTCTTCTCGACACGTGCATACTTTAAAAATAAAAATTTTCTAGAAATAAAGTATTCTTTATATAGATAGAAAATACTGTTTCTAATGTTGGCTTAATTAAAACAATTCCTTCATTTTCAGAAAAGATTTTAGGTACCAGGTAAATTTAATTTTAATATACCTATTTAAATTTATTGTGTGAGACAATTACAACTCAAAATCAGAGATGCAAAGGTCAAATCATTTTTAAAAATATAACTGGGGGGCTATAAAGCATGAAGTAGCTGTCTTACAAGCTTTCATGAGGTGCTTATTTAAATTCAGAATGAGGTGGGTAAGCTAAAATCTCCACTGAAAAGTTTTCCTCTTGCCCAGATGGGTCTGGTGATGATGGGGATAGGATTTTATGATTCAATTGTGAGTAACTGTTATCAGGACTAATGGCGATTGTCACAACTGTAAATGCAGAAGAGGTATAACTAAAGGGGTGGAGCAGTTAATCTGTCATTTCAGGAACAGAGGACCCTAGGACCATCAAGAGGAAAGAACATGAGAGGAGCAAGGGATCCTAAGCAGAAGAGTGGCACAACAGAGAAGGTGGCAGAGGCGACAGAATAGAGAGACAGAGCAGCAGAGGATCCTAGGCCTAGGGACTGAGAAAGGCACTGTGCCTGAGGGCAGGAGGCTGGCTTGCAGAATGTGCCCTTTAGACATTTAAACAATATATATTTATTTAAAATGAGGCATGTGCACATCAAAAAAAAAAAAAAAAGGTTAATAGAAGAAAATACTGTTAGCTGATGATGCATGGCATGGAGGGGATTGTAGTTATTGCAATGATTTGTTGAATGTAAAACTGATGAGCTGCCCTGTAAACCTTCACTCACTCAATTCACAATAAAAGCTTACAAAAACTCACATATACATACATATATATACACACACACACATATTGTCTAAAAAAAAAAAAATGCAGGGAACTGTATGCTTTGAAAATGAAACATAGTTGAGGTAAGTAAGGGGGTGTACAGGGGTACCATCCTATAACAATCAATGGGTATTTATGTGGAATTCCTTTCAGCTCAGGGATAAAAAGAGGCCCACTTCTAATTATCTCCTTTGATTTCAGTTCAATATATTATGAATTTTTTTCTTTTTAACTGACTCACTCTCCTACCTTTTTAATCACTTTTTCTCTGGTTCTCATAACTTTAGAGTTAAGAATTACTTATACTTCCTAAGGTTGAGGGAAGGAAGAAGAACAGGGAAATAGGGAGAAAATGCGAAAATATATTATTTTTTAATAATTGAGGTTCTGATTCCAATGTATTCTTGGATAGCCACTGAACATAATTAGTAGAAAATTGAGACAGTTAAACTTCAAAGTTATTTTTGATTTCTGATACACCATATACTGCTAGAAAAGGAAAAGTTAGGTCACAAAGTATTTTAGATACACTTTAGAATCATTAGTCAACATACACATTTTCTTCTGATACAATACCTGGAGACGTCTCACAGTGCTTTTCAATTTCAGAAAGTGTCCCAATCAAATTATCACCTTCTATCATATTTAAATAAAACAAAACATTGCAGGAAAAGAAAACATTTTCAAGAAACAAGAAGACTCAAATTTGAAATCTAAGCAGAATGCTTATTAAGTATTTTAAATCTTTAAGCATATTTAAGGAACCTTAGTTGTATAAAATCTGTAGACACCCTGCCTGCTGTCCCATCACGGTCATCGAATCTTGGCGTTCCTATTACCAGCATGGGCTCAAACTGTGTGCAAACATAAGAGGGCTTCAAAAAGTTTGTGAAAAAAATGAATGAAAAGATAATGGAATTTTTCCATGAACTTTTAAAACTCCTCTTGTATGCAGCAACTCAATCAAACACAGAAAATCTGTGAATAACCTACAGATAATGAAAAATAAATAATTTGGTTATCTAGACCACCTGCCTTGCCTGATTTCTATTAGAATCATGTTTTTATGCCTAAAATACAGTGTGAAAACCAAATGAACAAAACTGCATGTACAATGTGAATGAAGTTTTTATTAAAGCCAATAAGAAAAAAAAAAAAACCTTATTAGACATAGCCACTCCATATAAAGTTAAAAATAGCAAAGACATTATGTTCACAACGGTATATAAAATAAGGTGGTGATGTCATGTGTAGACATTTAGAAACCAAACCATCTTATGTTTCATTCTAGCCTATGCTATTTGGGCCATCTTTACAATGGTATACACATAAAGCACATCTAAGTGAGTTTTCACCAATTAAATTGAAATAGAATTTCAATCAACTTAAATTATCAAATTTTGCATTTATCAGAATCCCCTGGAAAGCTCATTAAAAGCGATTGTTAGCTTCTTCTCCAGTGAACAATGTAAAAGCTCTGTGTTCTTAGCATGTCCTTAGGTGATACAGACGCTGTAGGTCCAAGGACCACACTTTGAATCCACTCAAATAACACTAATTAGTGGTTTCCATTGTTAAAACAACTCCATTGCCACTTAGAACCAGAAGCAATAAGGACAATGAGTTGTTATAACTCTTGATGAGAAGCTGTTGTTGCTCCAGATACACAGATGCTATAAGAAGTCTAGTGAACTAAGTGCAGGAACAAGAATTTGTAGAAAGAATGGGAAACAATAATAACAGAAAAAATTCTTAAGCAAAATCTACATATAATAATATATTAGATTTGGTTGGTAAGATTTAGGTTTACAGAGCTATGCTCAAGTAGCTATTGTAAAATCTTTATCATTTAGATTCTTATAGAAAAAAATTCATTATAAACACAAAACCTTTTTTTTTTTATTGAATCCATTGTTTTTAAAATACCAATTTTCTTAGGAGTGCATTATGTTTTGCCTTCCACTATTTATACTGATGAGAGTTCATAAATCTGATACTGTCTTAACAGTGTTGTCATTAAAATTAGCTCTGGTAGCGTAGTGGTTACGAATCGGGCTGCGAACCGCAAGGTCAGCAGTTCGAAACTACCAGCTGCTCCGCGGGAGAAAGATGAGGCGTTCTGCTCCCGTAAAGATTAACAGCCTCGGAAACCCTGTGCAGGGTCGCTATGAGTC